CATGAAACCTTTAAATTAATCTGCTTAAAAAAAATTAGGCAATTTTATACCAAGTTTGTTAAAATAATCTGATTTAATATAGATGAATTAACGAAGAAAAATAAATTTTTATGTATGTTTCTTTTTTGCCATACATTAAACTAAACTTCCTCCTCTCTTGTGAATTGCTCCAGTGAGGGAAATATTGCCCAAGCCGTGTGTTGTCCATCTTGTTGCTAGTTCCTTCCATGAAGTTATATTGAAGAAATATATTATGAAAGAATTGAAATCTTTGTGCAAGAATATGGAATGCGTCATTAAAGAGAATTGATACTTGACGGGCTTGGCTTACGCGAAATAGAATGGAAAGAACAGTTGCAAACGTAAGCAAATACCATGCTTCAGTGACCAATCAGGGTCGATATAACCACACTACGTCACTTTCACGTATCCCATTAAGTTCAAAATTCAAAAATTCGGATATGACCTATGATATCAGCTCCAGCTGATCACTTATAAAAAAATGGCGCCTTAGAACAAAAAATAAAATAAAAGTTTATTTCTGGTACTTCCCCTCCCCCCTTGTGATTCACATTTTTCAGTTTCAATGCAGAGAAAATGAATTATTTTCTTCTTTTTAATCCACTATAAAAACAGAGCTCTTAAAATTTCAATTTTACCATTAAGAATTTGTGTTATCGAATTGCGGTGAATAAGACTTTTGTGTATGAGAGAGTGGATTGAAACTCCCCAAAGTGGGGATAAGAGATCGCCAAATGACCCATGGTTGAGGACAATGTCCAGCCAGCCATAGGATAAATGGCTCGCTGTCACGATTAATACAACATCAGCCCACCCATAAATAAGTACTTGAAGTGTGGTCAAAGTAGCCACAGTGGACAGAGTTTTAATTGCCTTCTCATTTTCTTAACTTCTCTTCCAGCCATTCCTTTTAATGGTGACAGCGTTTTGAGATAAACTATTTTTAGACCCATTACAATAAATATGTTTCTTATCAATGTTTCGATACTAAAGTTCGTTTATTAATGTACGGTAATACTTGATTCAAGAATATTATTATAAGACATAAGAAACCGTAATAGAACCTTACAATAGACAGTACAATAAGAAACCTTACAATAAATAAATAAATATGTTGTTGTTTTTTTATCAATGTAAATGTTTGGATACTAAGGTTTGTTTTTAATGGTTTGTTAATGTACGGTAATGTTTGGTATAAGAAAACTATTATTAGACATAAGAGACCGTATGTCCAATCCTTAAAATAAATATGTTTTTTTTTTTATCAATGTAAATGTTTGGATACTAAGGTTCGTTTATTAATGTACGGTAATACTTGATTCAAGAAAACTATTATAAGACATAAGAAACCGTAATAGAACCTTACAATAGACAGTACAATAAAGACAATAAGAAACCTTACAATAAATAAATAAATATGTTTTTTTTTTTATCAATGTAATTGTTTGGATACTAAGGTTCGTTTTTAATGGTTTGTTAATGTACGGTAATGTTTGGTATAAGAAAACTATTATTAGACATAAGAGACCGTATGTCTAATCCTTAAAATAAATATGCTTTTTTTATATCAATGTAAATGTTTGGATACTGTAGTAATACGCTAAATTTTTTTATTACCGAAAATGCTATAAAAAGAGTTAATAATTTTTCTAGTCGGGATAAATAGGGTTTAAATATCCCAATCTAAAGTTATGCTAAAAAAAATTTTGCCTCATTGTTTCAAATTCACAAAACATGATCAGTATCAGAATAAGGAAGAAAAAAAATTATTTACATATTTTATAACTAACGGATTAATTGACAGTAACTTATTATTATTTATCTCCAATTAAAACAATTTATGAGATAGACGGAAAAACTAATAATTTCCATGTATTGTTATTTCGAATGTGTTTCTTAGCCGTTCAATAGAAAAAAAAAAATTAAAACTGTTTCATTTTGATACATTGTGGTTATCGGGTAATTAGTGGTAATTGACTGCAAAGGCAAAATTCTACTTCCCAACCAAAAAAAGTCTCAAACTTTAATCATATGTTCCATGTTAAATTTTATTTTATACCCGTTGTTGAAGTGCAGACCCAATTTTTTGGGTTTAAGACTACTAGTGTTCAACTTCGTAGCCTTGAAATTTCAAACCCAGTTCAGAAGACAAGGGTACTCCTGGATCAAGTATTGGGGGAAAGCTTCCTTCGGGGAGGATTTTTGATGGAACTAACCCGCATTTGATTTACATGGAGAGCAATCATCATCGTATGAAATAGATAATGCTTTAAAAAAATATCAAAATTAAATTAAAAATAATTAAAATTAAACTTTTTTTTTCAAAAAGTGATTTCGTAACTTACTTTTTAGTACGTCTTATTATTTCGGAATTCCAGCACCGTGAGTCAGTTTACGAAGAAACTTTCGATTGCCACAGAATTTTTTTTTTGTTTTCTCTTTTTGCCCTAAAAAGGAAAAAGCTTTTTATGATTGCATTTTCTAAACACGTTCTTAAAACACTTTTTGAGCTGAAGTCGAAATGTGAAGTCTCTATCTTTCACTCTATCAGAGATTAAAGAAGACGCCGCGATGGAACACCTGCCAATGTTCCATAAATGGTGAAAAAGCATTGTCCACGACTGAAATGAAGACTCCTCTGTCCTTCCGGACAAAAGGGTCGGCCACGGAGCTATTTCCAGTAGCTAATTTGTGAAGGGACTTGTTTCTCTTGGGCTGTCGCCACCAATTATCTCGAAGGGAAATATCCCTTTGGGGGGTGGGGATATTCCAGAGAAGACATCGTAAATTTCCTTTTTACAGTGATGCGTGTTAAATGGTACCAGTTGCAAAAGACCACCCCATGTGATCTCACGAAGATCGGATTCAGTCGATTTCACTTCTGGAAAAAATGTAATACAAGAGTAGGTAAAAGGAAGTAATAAGATGTAGAAGAATTAAGGGAGATAAGGTATTAAGCATGCAATACTGTATGTAATGCAGAAGAATTAAGTATGCAATAGATTTTTCTATCGCTAATTCAGATAAATGAATTTTTGTACCGTCCCCACCTCAATTAATACATAAATAAATAAAATTCTACTTTAAAGAATTCTACAAAATTAAAAGACAGGGTACTGGTAAATTACAGACTTTCTGTGAGAAGTCCTATTTTGTGCGAAATCTCATTGAATTATTCTTGCAAAATACAATGGTGTAAGAGAATTTGTAAACTGGGTCGATTATCTCTAGAACTATTGGATCAATTTCAATCAAATTTGATATGTTCATACATTGATACAGTACAAAACAAATAACCATTCAACAATTGTAATACACACGCATGATTGTGCCCAACACTCTTTGGAGTCGGAAGGTATAAAATTGCCACGTGACAATTCAGGCCAATTGCCACACAGGAAATGATAAACTGTCTTATTTGAAGTATGAAATCACGCTTGTATTGACATTTTGTTTGCATTTCATACAGGAATCCGTGCTATAAATCAATTAACGAAAAGGCATAACAGAAATGTCTTCAACATGGAACTATGATGGAACAGATCGTACTATTCGAAACAGTTTGGTTCAAGCTGGATTCTTAGTTAGCGCGGAGAATTTGGAAAGTGCGGAAGACGAGGATGATATTCCGTTAGAAAAACTTAAAAAAATGTGGGTACAGCTAAGAGAGAACCACGAAATTAACAATGACGCACTGATGAATGATTTTCATTTTATTGATTTTGAAGTGGCAACCACAGAAACATTAACTGAATCGGATATTTTGGATAGTGTGAAAAATAAAAACAATCCAACTATAAATTGTGACGATGAAGAAATCACCAACACTTCATATGATAAAATCATTTTAAACTATTAGATAGTAGACAATAATTTACAAGATGAAGGGGCATCCATTGCTAGTTTAATTATGTCTTGTGTTTATGAATTTAAAACATGTTTCGCGTTGTTTAAGTATTTCAAATGATAATTTTTTTTATTTAACGAATTTTCCATGAAACGATCTTTGTTATCGGGATTTAGCGGCTTCGTTAAATAGAGGTCCGACTGTATTTTATTTTGCTGTAGTCTTTTTTCATATTTACCATATCATAAGTGATATGAAAAAAAGTTGCAGATTTTTTTCTTCATATTTAATATATTTACAGCCGCGATGGCTCAGGGGATAGAGTGTTCGCCTTCCAATGAGGCGAACCGGGTTCGAATCCCAGTAGATACGATTTCCGCATTCGGCTTGCACCGACCACAGTGCTGACGTGAAATATCTTCAGTGGTAGACGGATCATGGGTGAGAGTCCAATTGCCGTCCGACTAACCGTGGGGGGTTCTCGTGGTCTTCCTCTCCATGCAACGCAAATGCGGGTTAGCTCCATCAAAAAGTCCTCCACGAAGTCAAATTTCTCCCAATATTCGATCCAGAAGTTTTCTTGTCTTCTGGATTGGGTCCAAAATGACAAGGCTACGAACATGAGTAGTCGTTAAACTCATAAAACTGGGTTCAACGAAGGTTATGAAATATATGATAAACTGATTGCATTAAAATGTTTCAACTTTATTAAATTAACTTATATTTGCTTTAAGTATATCATATTACAATTTTATTAAGGATTATATTTGTTTTAACTTGCATTAAATATTTTTCAAATTGTGGTATGAAGTAAATTTTTATTCCTCGAAAATTGAATTTTCAATTTTTTTTTTTTTTTTTTTTATGAACTGACAATTTTAAACACGGTGAGCATTGATTAAGTGCTGAGATCAAAAAATTATTAACTGATCAAACTTTACTGACAGAAAAGAGGAGATTTGAGACCAACCAAAGGATCAGAAGGAGGGTCCTTTTTTTTTCATTTATTTATTGCCGCAAAACTCTCAAATCTGATGATTGTCAGAGATGGCGTTAGTGGCGATTATATCGTCCGACCAATCGGAGGAGACGAAAGAAGAATCGGTTGCCTTTCGGAGAGAGGGGGGTCGAGGGACCAGAAAAGTGTTCGGAAAAGGGGGGTAGGGGGAGGAAAAAGCGCGTGGAGAGCGATCACTTTAACGAAACACCGGGAGCCCCTCTATTCATATCAGATCCCTTCAGCAACATAGATTCAATCCCTATTATTTCTGGAATCAACTTTTTTCTTCTTCTTTCAACAATAAAAGTAAGTGTGTATAAATATTTTTTTTTCTTTTTCGGTTTGGTACATTTTTAGTAAAAAAAAATCTTAGAAAAGCTTTTTTTATTATAATTATCTTAGGAAAACTTAAATTATAGTTGATAAGTTAAAACTTATACAATTCCTACTATTAGCTCACACTTTCCCTTTTAACTTGCAATAATTTTTAATAGTTAATAAAATACTTTTTATTCATCCTACATATTCTCTAATACTTAATGCTGTTATTATTTGGACGGTCATCATTAATTGCGTAAGTTTCTCCTTTTTGAATAAAAGCAGGACGTTAAATATTTATTTTCTGAAATTCTTGCCCCAAATATATCATTTTTGTTCCCTGAAATACTTTGTAATATTTCTTTTGTACAGTGTCATCAGTTAAGGGGTCACAGTACCCAAAAAATGACAAAAATACCAATTTTTTTATTGCTTATAATAAAACTTCAAACTATTTCAAATGCACTGAAAAAAAATCAGGTCTCTATCTATATTTTTGAAAAAGTTATGAATGATTTTAGATTGTCCTAATACAGAATCTAGCTCTGCAGACAAACTTTAAAGGTTTTTTTTTTCATAAATGATAATTTTGTGTTTTGATCTTGATTAAATCCCTAAGGAATTTTTTCTATTTAAGATAAAGCTTTGAAGTAAACTTTTTTATCTTAAGTATAATACACTTATTTGAACTGTGCATGGAATAAGCATTTTATAACGTATTACAATTTTTACAGCATGTTATATATACCTAACAGGAATTTTTACCCTTTTTTTTCTACTTTTTTACAAAATATTTTATAAAAAATACTCTAATTGAAATATCAATAAATGAATGCACAAAATTGTTAAGAAGAATATTGTAAGTACTAAGAAAAAATTTTTTTTTGAAAATAAGTTAAAATAAAAAAGCCTTAGGAATTTAAAAAATTTTGAATTTTTCAACTTTTTTTAAAATTTTAAAAAATTTAAACAATTTAATTGTTTTTTGAAGATAAATTATTCATTATAAGTTAAATAAGCATGTAAAGCATCCTCAAAATGAATGATTATACCTTTATTTAAAAAATTGTTGCAAAGGTACTGTAACCCCTTAAAAGATCAATCATATTTTGAAAATGAATCGCTTCAATTTTTATGTTCTAAATAAACTTTTCCAACTTAGATCAAATTCACGTTTTATATGCTTTTAAAAACAAAGACAAAAGTTTCGAACTAAACCGTGAGTTCCAAAGTTATTTTTCGTTGGTCTTATACTGTAGTCGGAAAAACTACAACTACTTTGATGGAAATGTCGTTAATTACAACTACTTTTTTTTAAACGTAGTGACGACTAACTACTTTGGAATTGTAGTAACTACCTCACTAATTCAAGCAGACGAACTTTGCAGGAAAACTTAATGGACACCCATGTTCCGAATATTTTTGAATGAGAAATTGGCTTTATTCTATATAAGAGAATAATTAAGAAATATATATTTATATTTATGCGAGTCAGTTTGTTATTACTAAATACTTTTTTTTCTTTCGAATTTGCTCACTTTATAACCTTCAAATTTTTATATCGTTTTCGACAGCAAATATTAAATTTAAGAAATCCGAAATTATCAAATACTTCAAATTGTTTAATGCTCTAAGAAATAAAGTGCATCGAAAATACGTTCCCGTCTTTTTGAAATAAGATCAATGTTTTCCGAGTGTGGAATCCGCATGTTGTGACCAAAGTGATGATTCGTAATGACTAAGGCCCGGATTTTGATGACATTTGCATTTTTTTGCATTTTTGGACATTTTTTGTCCTTTAGAGCATTTTTTGAGATTTATAGGGCATTTTCTTTAAAATTTTGGTGCGTATTTTGCATTTTAAAGCATTTTTTAAATTTTTTGTTAAATTTTTCTAATTTTTATTATTTTTTATAATTTTTTATTATTACACTGGCTTCCAAACAATGAAGAAAATTTCTAGGATATTAACAGGTGAAGCAACATCTTTTCAAATTAAGGAAGAATTGTCAGTAAATGTGACCGTCCTTTTCAAGTACGCACCAATAACATCAGTAGACGTTGAAAGAAGCTTCTCCTGGTATAAAAATTTGCTTTCAGACGAGGGACGCTCGTTTACATTTCAAAATATTAAAAAAAAAATTTAATAATCCTCTGTAATTCTGATATTTAGTAATATTATGAGATGGAAGTTGTTATATTCATTTAAGTTTCTATACAAAATGAAAATGTTTTGGAATCAATATATTTTCCCTTTTTTTGTTATTTTTGGATATAAAACATATTTGTTAAACTTTAATGAATGTAGAGCAGGTATTGCATTGCTTTATACTTTTTGAAACGACTCATAATAATTTTAAAGAGTAAAACATTGTTTTATTTCAATATTTTTACTTCTATTTAAGTCATGTCATAAGGCATTTTTAGCGCAATTTTCGCATTTTAAGGGCATTTTTTGCACTTTTAAGGGCATTTTTTGCAGTTCATAAGGGCATTTTTTGCACTTTTTAAGGGCATTAATTGAGATTTTTTAGGTCATCAAAATCCGGGCTCTGGTAATGACTCATTTAAATATTAGTTATAAGTGATTCCAAATACGTCATTCCTGTTTTAGAAGGTCGGAAAAGCTACATTATTTTTCTAGTTTATGGCAACTACAAATACTTTGTTACAAATGTAGTTAACTACAACTACTTTTTTTTTTTTTTTTTTAAATGTAGTCACTACAAACTACTTGAAGGAGACGAACTTTGCTGCAGAACTTAATTGACACTCATATTCAAAATGGTTTTGAATAAGAAATTAGTTCTCTTTAAATATAAAGCAAAAAAATAAGAAATATTCATTCATGTTTACATGAGACAGTATGTAATTCGAAACCTTTTTTTTCTTCTTTCGAATTTGTTCATTGAACCATCCACTTTTTATACCTTTTTTCGACAGTGAATATTTAATTTAAGAAATACAAAATTATCAAAGATTTAATTTTTTTGAATTATTTAATGTTCTTTAATTTCCTCTAAGAAAGTATGCACATCGAAAATGTGTTCTTTTACTTTCAAATAACATCCATGTTTTACGAGTGCATATGAAAGTGTGAATAAAATTATTAATTATCTATTTTTCGTAATGGCTAGTTTAAGTATTCATTATACGTGCTTTTAAATATGTATTTTCTGTTAAACGCTCAGCTACGAGGTCATTTTTATTGCATTTGTTGGCGGACCTGCGAAGATTATTACTAGAGCCCGGATTTTGATGACCTAAAAAATGCAAAAAATGCCCTTAAAATGTGCAAAAAATGCCCTTAAAAATGCTCTAAAATTGCGCTAAAAATGCCTTATGACATGACTTAAATAAAGTGAAAATATCGAACTAAAACAATGTTTTACTCTTTAAAATTATGAGCCATTTCAAAAACAATAAAGCAATGCAATACTTGTTCTACGTTCATTAAAGTTTGAAAAATATGTTTTATATCCTAAAATAGCAACAAAAAAAAAAGGAAAATATATTGCAACTATACAAAACATTTTCATTTTGTATAGAAACTTTAATTAATATAACAACTTACATCTAATAATATCACTAAATATCAGAATTACATTGAATTATTAAATGTTTTTCGATATTTCGAAATGTAAACGAGCGTCTCTTGTCTGAAAGTAAATTTTTATACCTGGAGAAGCTTCTTTCAATGTCTACTGAAAGACTACTTGAAAAAGACGGTCTCACTTACTAACAATTCTTCTTCAATTTGAAAAGTTGCTGCTTCACCTGTTAGTATCCTAGAGATTTTCTTCATTGTTTGGAAGCCAGTGTTCTCCAAAACTTTGTTCAATTTAGCTGCTACACTTTCTCCTATTTTTCCCCTTGCTCTTTGCAACACTCGACTCACTACATCACTATAATTTATTGCATTGCTAAGTTCCAGTTCTTGTTTCTCCAAGCTTGTAATTGTTGAGGACACAATAGCAAAGTTAGACTTGATAAATGCTAAATTTCCTTCGATTTTATCAGAAGCACGTTTAGCGCTATCTTAATTGATGCAGCATCTTCTGAATCAAAACTGCTGACGATAGACTTCACTATCTTAAAATTTTCACTGTAGTATACGCATGCATCCAACCAGGTACCCCATCCTGTGATTACTGGTATAGGGGGCAAGCTTGGACTGCTGACTAGGAGCAAATGTTTTGAAGCATTCTTTGAGAGTTACAATATAAAATGTAAAATTATGAGACAAATCTTGCATTTCATATAATAAAAATACCCCGAAAAATAATAAAAATTGGAAAAAATTAACAAAAACCTTAAAAAATGCTGTAAAATGCAAAATACGCCCCAAAATTTTAAAAAAATGCCCTATAAATCTAAAAAAATGCTCTAAAGGACAAAAAATGTCCAAAAGTGCAAAAAATGCAAATGTCATCAAAATCCGGGCCTTAGTCATGAGTAACAGTTGCAAACTCACAGCAGTCTTAAAAATAGAATATTATTCTCAAAATAGCATGACTTTTTGTGACGACGGAAGCTTTGAAACATAGCCTAAATCATCATCATCAACATTTATCTGGGCGCCTGGGGCCGTTAGCGGCCTTTTTCCCATTCGTCTTGAATTTTGATCTTTGGGGTGGTTCTTTCTGGTAATTGGATTGCAATTGAAGTAAAAGGAAACTAAATATTTTGAATTTTAGATAAAATTACGTCACTACAAAAATGAGCTGCCATCAGTCTGAGGTTTATGTCTTCTCTCAAGTTTTCAAAAGTAAAAATTTCGTTGAATCCTGCGTTGTCGCAATTAATGGTGTTTTCAAAAAATCTGAAATTTAACTTTGCTNGAAAGCTAATTTTTAACATTCCTTTAGAATTGGCGCCGCACTCCCTGATCGCCTCGTTCACCTGCCGGCGAAAATGTTCTCGAACTTCCTTTGGGATATCTCCGCAATTCGGGCTCCCTTCTCATTCCTTATTTCTAGTGTTGGTAT